GTTGAAGGGGAAAAAAATAATACCTTTTTCAAGTTATCAGCAATTTTGCCAAGAGATTTTTGCATTTATTATTGAATCCTAAAAACCATATTACGGTGCAAATATCACTGCTCTCAGTTTTAGACAAAGAGGCTTAGAATAGGTCAGAATTTGCTTTGAGTCATTGGCTCCTCTGAGTGTCAGTTGAAGAAGTCTGCTCAGTCATCATCTGGACTCCCAAGGAGTTCCAATTTCCCAGTTTGTGACAGGCTCTCCAGCTGTAAGTCTTTACAGATTCTAATAATACTGATATAATTTATGGGATGATGACCTCAGTTCAGACACCTGCACATAGGTATCTCTGGATATGAGAATACAAATAATACTTACCACCTTATTAATATTACTTTTTCATATTAGATGATTTCAATAATTTTGTCTCCCTTTGATTTTTGTATTAGCCAGAACATGGTTGTGAATAATTAAATTCCAATCCAAAACAGCATAAGTAAAATAATTTAAAAATACCAATAATAAAAATAAATGGAAATCTATTTATCTGACCAATCTAAGGTCTAGTTGGAGAAAGCTAAGACTAGTCATTTTTACAGTGGTAGGGCTTAGTTTCAAGAGCTACATTGGAAATTGTATTGTTTATTTTTCAGTGTGTTGTGTGCAAGGCTGATCTTAGCATATTCAGCTGTACATCCTTGAGTTAGTCTCACAACTTGTTTGTCTTTCCTCTCCTGACACTTGAGGATCTTCTTGTCATTACATATTTTCTGGAAAATTATATATTCTTTTGTATATAAATAGACAACCTTTTTCTGATTGTGTATAAAATGAGTTTGAGTTATAGGCCAGTAGAGCAGATACTGAATAAAAGTGCTATGGGGGGGAGGGGATGATGAGAACCCAGAGCAAAGGAGACAGAGCCCAAGGTATTCCACCCCTGTGTGCAGAAAATAACCTGTTTAATTTTCAAACCAATCTTCATCTTTCTCTTCTACAATCTTAATGTTTCAAGTGCCTCCTGCTATGCTTATGTATTAAAAAATTGAGCTAATAATGCCATCATTAGAGTGGAAGGAGAATATGAATTTCTTAAGGTTTTTCATAATGTTAAACATTATTATGCAAATTGTGCATCCAATGTAGTAGAATGCCAAAGAAAAGAATGTAAAATGTCTTTAAATATCACAAAATTTTTCTTGACATCGTTGAAAATTTTCAAAGCATGATACTATTTATCCTTTCTCATAGAATCAATTTCTGCCAGTAAGAATTCACTAAAATTGCAAAATAGCATCAAATTTAAAAGGCTTTAAGAGTCACATGAGTTAGTAAAATAAATGCCAAGTTTAACTGGAACTCTACCTGAGCCAGCTCTGCAATGAACAAAGGGACAGAAAGGAGTTTGAGAGGGAGGCTGCAGCTTATAGAAGCTCTTGACATCACAGCAAAATCTTCTCCCTCCTCCCTGACTCCTCTTCTCTGTCTTCTACTAGAAAGAGAATCCATTTCCATCTTCCAATGTAACATCTCACCAACAAAATATCTAAATATCTTAATAATTAGATAATCAAAGGAGGAGGCTTCTAAAACTCCTACTCCACACAAAACGATCCCTCCTATTTTTCATTGCCAGTCAAGTGCTACAAGTAGAGCTGATACAGAACATCAATTTTGGTGTCAAATCTTCAAGTATCAAGAAAAAGTTCTCTGCTAGGCCTGCTGCTTTTTCCTTGAGAAAGACCGAGGCAGGACATCTTAGAGCTAAAGAGTTATTCAATCTCTATCAGCAGATATAACTCACAAAGACGCTTAGCCAAGTCAGTTCCTATCACTGGTTTTCAGCTTATCAATAAATGACAGCTTAAATTCAGTGATGTCTAAAGCCCCTTCAACTACTTTTTCTCTTCTTGTTATGTTACAAATTTTTCCTTTTTTTTATGTTTATCTCTAAATGTGTGTTTAGTAAAATTTCCATATACTACCATGGTGGCACTGAAATGCAATATAGTAAAAGTGTATCATTTTATACCAACAAAATAACAGTCACCAGGTATTTACTAAGAATTATGTGAGTACAGACTGTCATGCACAATTTCATGGCCATTGAGCACTGTGCTGTGGTAGATGAGGAGAAAAGTAGGAGTAGATAATACATTACGGTAGGTAGTAGAATTCCAGATTTGTGGTTCCTCTTTCTCTTTGTTCCTCCAGAAAAAAAATAAATAACTGGTTTTTATATCATTTGTAAATCATGCCTCACCTCTCAGTGACATCTGAAACCCAAGGAAGTTTGTTTCTATTCAACAGTAGCATGGGAATAATTTCAAATCAACTTTGGCACAGGAATAGAAAAATGTTTTCAAGCCATTGAGCATGGAGAATCATGTCTTACGCCATCTGTGGACGGAATGGAACTCTGCAACTTGGAAAGCTACTGAACAAGCCTGAGGAGTGTATCCGTGCTGGAAACCAATTTAGTGAGGAGAAAAACAACAGCCACAACACAGCATCAACAAAAAGCCATGGGGTGTCCTCATAAAAAAGCAAACAAAAGAAAGATCAAGAAGTGCAAACCCAGAGCTGAGATGCCTCTTTATTTGCACACATCTGCTTACTGAACACATTCCAATTTAATTATATAGCCAAATTACCATCCCTTACAGAACTATTGTCATAGCTTTCAGATTCTTCCAAGTGTCAATTTCAGTGTAACTCCCTGTATATTTCAAAACAATGACTGGAAATTTTCCTCTCTCTACAATTATGTAACCCTAGGAGGATCTGAGCATTTTTATTTTTTTCTATCTAATCAAAATTTCGTGTTAACTCCCTAAAACCTGCATGCTTTTGTAAACATACCCACCTGAGTCATTTGTCTCCAATGTTACTTAGACATTTTTAAGAAATAAGCGCTTAATTTCCACAGGGATATTTGAAATACAGAATATGTATTTTCTTTATTCACATTTGGAGCTCAAATTTCAGTTTATATAACAAATGGCAAATGAAACAAATTCACTAAATGATTGTCATCAATGTTTAGAAGTATTATGAAAAGATTTTTTTTTTACAATAGTAACAGCATTTTTTTCCATACTAAATATCAGTGTTCACTAAGACCCTGTGCAGCAGAAAAGGAATTCATTTACCTGAAAGGTTATCTCAACTAGAGCTTTTCAGTGAAAGGTGCTTGTTATCTAGTGTGAATGGACTTATATATAACAATTATTGAATTCTTAAATAAATCCATATAAATGTTACTGACTTCAAGAAAGGTAAAAGTTTTATTTCTAACAAAGGTCATTTTATATTCTTTGATAGACTGGTGAGACAGAAGATACAAAAACTGAGAAGTAGTCAAATCCTATATAGTCTACTGATAAAATTAATTTAGTAAATTAGTAACATTCACCAAACATTAATCAAATATATAGTTCATGCCAAGGAATGTGTAAGAAAATTTTTACATCCATTGTTATAAATTTTTTAATTAATCTTTTAAGGCAAAACTTTCTTCCCCATGTTGATAATTTATCCAATATCCCAATTTTTGTAAATTCTTAAATATTTGGTTTTATTATAAGTGTATTATCCTAACTTATAGTTTAGAGCCTCTCAAGTAGAATGTAAAAGCAAAATCAAAACACCAAGTTTCTGTAGTAATTGATTATAAATCTTTTACATTCTGCTGAGATGGTAAGAATTCGAATTTGTATTGTTGGAGCTAGATAAAGATAGCGTGTGTCCTGACATTGACAGAATTTTGTATATTTCTAGGCTCTGTCAAGGTCAGATAAATCCATTCCTTTGCATTACTCTTTTACTTACTTGCAAACATGCTATTTCCAAATATTACAAACTGGAAGAATAACATGATTTTTAGGTCTTGTAAAAAGTAAAATGAGTCTGATCCAGATCTGAACAAGCATTATGTTATTGCAAAGACCGCATAGTACCCTGAGGTGTTGGGGAAAACAGCCAATGAATCCAGGCAGAAACCCATCCATTTGGCAAATAATGGGTTTCTCCAGTGAAGACAGCTGGTCTCCTGCCCTTTTGGCTGAAATGTACTGGAAAAAATGTCCTTTCAGATGAAAAGGAGGACAAGAATATTGGTGATCCAGGGGAAATGCAGCAAAATAAGGAGGTAAAGCCAAGAGTTAAGCAGTCTATAAAAACCTGTTTAGGTAATTAGGCCCAATTCTGTCTAGGGAAATGCCAGTTGTCTTACCTTTCTTCAAATATATTTTCTGCTCTTTCAAAGCTAGCTTTCTAAAAGTATTTAACCGTGAGCTATCTTTCAATAATGCAAGGTATCGATCCAATGCTTTCATGTATTGATTCAATCGTGGATAATTGTTCAGAAAGTAGAAAGTCTTTGGAAAAGTAAGAGCACCCCTCATTGATCAGCATGGCAGTTCACTTTGTCAGCATTTACATAAAAGTCACCATCCATAAAAATTTCACTAGAGTTTGTTCTAGAACCAACCAATTAGTAACTTGACTGAATGTGTGAATGAATGCCTAAACTCCATATTTTTCATGTTATGGACTTGTGTTTATAACAAGGTGATTCTGAAAATGAAAGAATATATATATATATATATATATATATATATATATATATATATATATTTAGACCTAAGATATTGTGCAAGAAAAATAAAATTAAGAGTCTGATTTAAAAAAAAAATGGTTCCAGATATTTTATGGAATGGAGGTCTTCTTTTCTAAGGATGTTAGAATAATGTTCCTTGACATGGGCTTTCTGGATAAAAAACAAAAACATAAACAATAAAAAAATATGTTTTTTTAGTTTGAATCTCAGGATTCAGTTTAGTTTAACCAAGGATTCAGATACATCTAAAAGTGTCTGGATGGCATATGTTGCAAATAGACCAAAGATCTATTGGTGTGCAAGGTCTAGGAAATTTCTATGAACAATTTTCCTAAGAGAAGAGATAATTGTAATAAAGATGCTAGTAATTAGCAATCACCCAATTTGCTATTTGGTCACAGGAAAGGATAACAAATATGTGACTTGCTTTACCAGTGAAATGTAGGGAATTAATATCACTACCAATTCCTGATAGCAGTTTTAAAAGCCAGCATGCTCTGGCTACATTCCCCATTCTAGCTCCACCATAGTGGAAACGTTGAGAGCAAGGCTCTCTCACTCCCTGGGTGACCATGTGAGTAAATCCTCACTGATGAATAGTGGATGAGTCTTCTGAGTGAACGTAACCTTGGGATGTACTTGGTCAGGAAGAGGCATCGGTAAATCCAAATGGGAAGAGTTCTTTGCTGACCACTCCAGTGGTGTCCAAAACTACAGAATCATCATCAGTGCTGGTCACTGGGGAGAGCAGGAATAGAACAGGAATCTCAGTGAATGAATGAACAAGGGAGATATCCCTATTGGGTTTCTAAAAATATTAGGATGGACTCTCAAGAAGCTAGACATGCCTTAATTTCAGCAAGAAAGAGTTTCAGAGAAACATAGTTTACTAATAATGGAACCCTATTTTTACTTTCTCTCTCCAGAGGACTGTGTTGCTAGGGAAAGACTAGTTAATAGGCCTTAGTTTCAATTACTGCCTCAAATATTTCTCTTCTAAAGTGCATGCGTAGCCCTTCTTTTGGAAGCTGTGATCATGCCAGAAACCACATTATATACATATTTTTCTGCTAAAGATGGGATGTATTTGATATATTTTGATCATTTTGATGTTAATATAATAATATAAATTTAAATGCCTAATTATGCACATGAAATAATAGTTAAAATTAAAACTAGCACCCCCCCAAATAATGATTGTGCTATATCAACCAGAATTTCAGAAGTTGCCCTCTGCCTTTGAAAACCTCAATATGCAACATATTTCAGATGAAATGAGAGTGAAAATGAAATAATCATGAATTAATGCAATTTAACAGAGCCTTCCAGAAACCATTAGAAATATGCAATCAAAACATTTTAGATCATCTTATAATTCTGCTTAAGAAAATCTATTTGATCCACCTTTGTAGTAGTGCTAAAGGGATCTTGTTGAAAGAAAACATCTATTGTCTCTGCCTAAATGAGTTGTTTTCTTATTAGTTATTTTTCCCCCTAAATGATTTATTTATCTATATTAACGCAAAGTTTCCCTAATAATTTGAAATGACTGCAGCAAGATAAATTATACATACTTCTTTGAAAATATAGTGCACACTGAAGATAACTAAGTATCTTGAAGCATTTTTTAATTTGTTTTTATGTGAGCCCAAGTTTAGCAGCACCACTCATTCATCCATCAGCAGTTTGTCCTGCAAAAGATGGTATCAGAGGAGGTAACTTGTTTTGCTCTGGAGAAAACATCTGAAAGTTAATCCATATTGGTGTTGCACTCAGTGGGTTCTGTGGCTTGGGCAAAATGGGAACACCTCTTGGACATCAGAAACTAGCAAGAAAGCACCAGAAGGGACACTAAAGAAATTCATGCTTCATTAAGTAAGAGGTGAGTGGAGAGAAACACCAGGAAGTTGTGGCTCCTGGTGGGAGGCTGCCTTGTAGACCACAGCTTTCCCAGATGGCCAGCCACCTCTGGAAGGAGAGCAAGCAGAGGTGTGGCAATATATACCATTCACTGAGCAGAGATGGTATGGAGGAGCCAGGGTGCTCCCAGCAGAATGGGCCTTCACATAGTGAAAGACACTATCATTAACAAAGACACACTCTACTAAGTGGGAGAAAATATTCATACACCATACAACTAACAGGGGCTAAGATTCAAGATCTATAAGGAACCCATACAACTCAATTAAAAAACAAAACTAAATAGTCGCTTCTCCAAGGAAGACAAGATGGCCAACATGCACATGGACAAAATACTCACCATCACTTAGCATCAGGAAAATGCAGATCAAAACCGCTAGATACCATCTCACAGCTCTGAAAATGGCCCATATCAAAAAGTCTAGAAACTACAGGTGCTGTGAGGATGTGGAAATAAATCCTTGTACACTGTGTCTAGGAATGCAGACTGATACAGCCCTGGGAAAAGTGTATGGAAAAGTGTATATATAAAAAATGTGTGTGTGAGTGTGTGTGGAATACTACTAAGAAATAAAAAAGATGAACTCTTACCTTTTGTGACAGGCTGCATGGAACTGGAGGAACTAATGCCAAGCAAAATAAGTCAGAAGGAGAAAGATAAATATTGAATAGTTTCACTTGTATGTGGAAAATTAAAAAACAAAATGAAGGGCCGAGAGCAGAGTCTGGGTGGAGAGGGCTTTGTGTGCTGGCCTTGGATTTGAGACTTATCCTAAGGGCACTGCCGAGCTTTAGGGGAAATCAGTCAGAGCAGGGCACATGGTCACCTCTGAATTTTCTGTCCACCTCACTCTAGCTACTAGGTGAATGAACTGAAGGCTATAGGTTTGTCATTGGGCAAAACTTGCAGAGAGGAAAAAAAAAAATCCCATTTAAAGATGATTTTAAAATCAATTCGACATTTCACAACCATCATTTGTTGAGCACATACTTCATGTCAGACAGCGGGATATCATTGACAGTAACAACTGAAGACCTTCTGTGTCAAAATGTGCATTGATTGAAATTGATCCCTTATTTCAACTGTTCCAGTAAGTCTTAAGGCAAAAGATGAGGGAAGTGCAGTTATAGTTGGACAGGTTTTCGCAGTAAATATGCATGATATTGATTTCGACCAAAAATTTGCATCACTCTCTAAGGTAGGTTAAGAGCGAGGTGACTGAAAATCTGGGCATTGAAAGGCATGCAGAGACTTTGAACCGTCAGCGTAGGTGTGCAGTGTTAACCACAGTAGTTAACTTGGAAGCTTAAAAGCTGATTATGATGCTTCCAAGTCAGTACAGCTTTGCATGATATTAAAATTTCCCCTTTGGGATATATGACATGTTCCAGAAGTTCAAATTCGGATCATTAATTTCCCAAAGTTTTACACAAGTTATGTGTTCAGGAAATGGTCAGGAGCAGAATATATTTCCCAGATATATAAGTCTATTCTATTCTAGAACATTGTGTTGGAGAATCTTTCTGAAACTCGTGCTTAACCCAATAGCTGAGTTCTGAACCTTGCCGGATAAGCACTTTCAAATATAAAATATTGAATGATAGTGAGAGCTGACTACTACACTTATTTCAAAGTTTGCTGAGCCTAAATATATTTTTTTAAAAAAACTGGTTATTCTAATAGGACCAGACCTTGAAAAAGAAATGAAAGACAGAACACCATTTACCAAAAAATTGGAGAAAGAGAGAAAGGGAGGTAGCTTGGGAGGGAGGAGAGGTGAGAGGAGACGGATGGATGGATCGATACATAGAAGATAGATAGGCAAGATAGATGATCAAAGCATGCATAGATGCATGATAGGTGGAGGAGAGGATAAATCTTGGTGGATGATAATGGATAAGTAGATGACAGAAAAAGTGAATTTTCCCAATAGGAAACATGCTCCCGCTTTTGCTTTGCTTTGTTTCTGTTTTAAAAACCTTTTCTCTACTCTCATGCCCTGGTTGTATTCTCTTAAGAGCTTTTCCTCTTACTGAGATGCTGCTTGTACACTTCACTCGTAATTATTTATTGACCACCTTAGCACAGTTCTAGGTGCTGATAGAGAACTGTAAAGAGAACCATGCAAGGTCTCTGACGGGCACTGCTATGGCATGAACAGACAAACAGAAAACAGCTAGGGAAACACAGAAGTAAATTTGGTCAGTGGTGATGTTTTTTTGAAAAATAAAACAGGGCAATTAGCCAGAGTGGCGTTGTGATAAGAGAGAGAACAAGTGGTTTTATAATGAAGGGAAAATATGACAATCTTTTTCTTCTGTTTCATTTCACTGTGCTTGGCATAGTACTTTTTAAATCTTAGGTATTCATGAAAGAGCTCTCAGAGAATACGAGCAATCAGTTCACTAAATGCTAGCTTTTGTTTTCCCTTGATCTTATTTTTGTAACCCTTTGGAGCAGACCTGGAAATCAACAGCATAAGCTTTACAATATACATTATGTTCACTGGCTGAAAGAAAATACTATTAAGTGTTATTTTTTTCCTACATTGCCCAAATAAAGAAGTAAATGATGAAAAAGCAATTTAAGACAAAAGGAGGTAATACAAACTGTACTAAGACAGCGGAAATGTTTCTTAAATGAGCTTAGCATTTGGGAACAGTATCGAGTTGATGCTTTTACTATCTAAAGCTGTACATCAATATCTGCTGCAGGGTTTAGATGTTCTTCTTGAGCAGAAATTAGCACAGACACCCCAAACGTGTGACCAGAGCACAGAAATGTAGACACATAAAAGAACATTTAAGTTACCACAAAAACGATTCCTGCATTTTAAACAGGCATGACGTCTCCCATTCACTGAAATGCAAGTCCGTGTGGCATGTCCGTCCACTGCGTGTCATAGACAGTAGCACACGTGTGGGGCATCCAGATGGATGTCTGTTGGGCCATGACAAATCCCACAGTCTGAAATAACATTCCACTCACCAAACCACTTCAAAACATGGGCTTTCTCCTTTCCTCGGAACAGTAGTGCCCGCAGCACCTTCCATAAGTCAGAAGTCTGGCCCATGACACACGTGAGAAAAGGTTGTCCTCCGATGGCAGACAGCCTGTCTCCAGTAACCCTGATGCTGACTCTGTGTGAATTTCAGTAAATAACATAACATTAACAGCTCTCAGTTTTCTTTTTTATTATTACTATTTTTTGATTAAGGTAACTATGGATTACAACACTGTATATGATTTAGAAATGTAGGTTCACACCTCTTCAGATGTGTGACCACACCCATCACCAGGGTACCCATAATCCTCCACCACAGTCCTCGGTGTCTCCTTGGCCCTTTCCTCCACACCCCTCACCCCCTTGTAGCCTGTTTTTTTTTTTTAATATTTGTTTATTCATATAAGAGCCGGGGTGCAGGCCAGAGGCGTGGGAGGGTGAGAGGATTCACCAGAGACAGAGCAGGGAGCAGAACAGGCAGACTGACTGAAACACACTGCTGAGGGGAACAGTGGGCAAGGCAGGAGAGGTCTGCCGCGCCATGTGGGTATCTCCCTGGCCGGCCGGGAATGGAACACGTGCTGCAGAGGCTGCAGAAAGCTTCATAGCGCTGCAATCAACCATCTGTGCCACCGGGGAGGTATCCTGGTAGCCTCAGTTTTATGACTACTGTGTTTCTTATTCATATCAGTTTTCTTATTCATATGACCTAAATAATAACAGCACCTAATATCTGGATATTATGAGAATTAAACTAGTTAATGCATACAAAGGGCTTAGAACAATGCTTGACACATACAAAATATCCTATAAAAAGTCATTATTATCATCATTTGTTCTGCTTCCATCAGCCTTACTCTATTCTATGTCTCAGTTTAGTCAGAATTCAGGTGGGAGAAAGCAGATCATTACTAACACCTATATTTGGAATATAAGTGAGGATGTTTTGGGGAAAAAAAGTCCACGAGTAAAAATTAGGGTAAAATACACAAAGAGAGGCTTTTAGCAGGACCAGAGAGCACAGGTATATGTGGTCAGAGATTCTTATCCGACCCTAGCCGTGCGGGGAAGTACTCGGGTGTAGAGTGCAGTTATACATAATTTGGGTGGGAAATATCTTAACTATTCAATTTCTTGGCTTAGTGGATAGAACTATAGGTTAGGACAAGATAAACTAGGACAAGAAAAAAAGAGGAGAGAACTTTCCATTTCTGCTGCTTCCTCACAGTTAGGTTTCTCCCCCTGAGAAATAATCCCCTAATCTCTCCCCAGTTGACATTCCAAAGAGGAATCCAAATAAGGTTGACATCATCCAGTGCAGGAGTAAGCGTGATGCAGAAGAAGCATGGAAGGAGACATCTGACTTTTGTATTAACAGTTAAAATACTCTGTTCCTGCAAATTTCACCAAATATATGACTCTATTGCTATAGCCTACATCTCCTTTCTGGTAAACATGAGGCATATAAATTGGGTGTACTTGTCCTAGTTCTGATTCTCTTCTTAAGAACGAGTTGAACTGTTTAGAAAGAGAGATCTCTCATATGAGCACACTAACATTCTCTCTCCTCTTAACAACACAAACATAGAAAATGTGCTTCGTACATAGGTAAGCACACCCAGCCCATCCTGTCCAAGACTTTGTGCGTAATCTGCTTAACTCTGGAGTTGAGATTCTATATTTACATGGGTTTCACATTCACCTATACATAGGCATTGACATTTGTTAAGAGGTAGGTTGATATCTAGACCTCCAACTTGCCTTTCTTCTTGTTTAATATCACACTATACATATAAATTGAGAAAGAGAATATAGATCTTGGAAACTTCTTGATCTGTCCTAATTTCCATGTTAGTTAATGTAGAGCAGAATTTCTTGAACATACTAAGTCAGCTACTACTTGCACTGGAAAATTTTCAAATTTCTTATTAAAGTCTTCATTTATTACAGTTGCTTACTCTTTTATTGAAAAGGCATCCCTGATGGGTTCAAAACGATATTCTGGGAAAAAATCAGGTATAGACCAAAAATACAACCTTTTCCTTATATGGACATCGTTAGTCCTTTACCCAGTCAGAACACAAATTATTGCTAAGAGAACCATGACTCTATACAAAGAGGAACAAAATTTTGGCTTTTCAAATTTGTTTCAATGCCAGCCCTCTCACAGACACCTGGCTGAGTCTGGTGAAGACAGGTTGAAATAAGTAAAAATGGAAGTGATTTTTACTAAGATCACTAGAAACTTTTCAAGACAAAAAGCACATATGCTTTAGAAACTTTTTACCAAGATACCAAGGGAAGATTAGAGACTTTTTTCACTTTTAGATGAAAACAACAAGATTTTAGACAGAGGGGAACACAAACAAGAAACAATGGCTTTGAATGGAGACCATGCCAGCACTCAGGAGATCAGTGGACAATAATTTCTTACATACACAAGACACTCATCGTGTCTTTCAGAAACATAGGGTGTGAGACTTCACAGTAGGAGACCAGCGTGAGCCAAAATAAAGTCCATTACATTGTATTGTGCAATAGCCAGTTACAGATGTTGCTGATTTGGGATAACTGTCCTTCCTACTGCAAGGGAAATGCCTTCAAAATATCTTTTCTGCCTAAAGTCAAAGCTTGACTTTGACTATTACATGTTCTTTCTCCTGAAAAATAATCTCTCAGTCTGGATATTACATCTATTAGAGTCCTCAAGAAAATCAAGAGGAAAATTGCAGGATAATGATGAGTTACTTGAGCAGAACTAAGACCCATTTGTACCAAAGTCAAGGCCTTACTTTCTACTTTTTCAATGAACTCCAAGCTCTCTGCTTTCCCCTTTGCCAAATATGGAGCCAAAGCTCAGTGGTGGTTAAGATGTAATTGTTGATTGGAAAGTAAATGTAGGTCACAAAGTTATTTCTAAATTTACCCTTCGGTTTCCCTCATATGCATAGTGTATATATAGAATACTTAAGTTAAACTGTGGATGAAATCAGAATATAATTATGTCATTTTAGTTAACGAAGAGACCCTATTGGATGGCTTACATAAGAATGAGGTGTTTAAAATTAGATTGTTCTAACTATTTTTAAAAATATTTTATTCATTTATTTTTGCATAGAAGCATTGGGGTGCAGGGCAGAGGCATGGGGGAGGTGGTGAGAGGGTTCACCAAGCACAGAGTGGGAACAGAACAGGCAGATCTATTGAAATACACTGCTGAGGGGAGCAGCGGATGATACAGGAGAGGTCTGCTGTGCTTTGTGGGTCAGGTCCATGGCCAGGGATGGAACTCAGGCCCTTGAGGTAGGCCTTCAAAGTAGTAGTGCTGAGACTTAACCCCTAAGCTACTAGGGAGGCCCCCAATCATTCTAACTTTGGATAAAATGTGAACTAGCTATGTTTTTCTGTGTTTGCCTCCCACCCCTTAAATAGCAATGGCTATTAATTTTTCTGTCATCAAGGAAATATTTTCCATATGATATTCTTGATGCTGGTCCTTTCAGACATGCCTTTGATCCCAATAAAATTATTAAAAAGGTATCTCAGTAGTCAATATCAATTTACCTATGCAGAGTATTTCCAACTTATTAAGAAAAAGCATAAAAAGAAGGAAAAGCCTTAAGTGATAAAATAATTGAAGTCCTAAGTGTTCTAGCACTGCAGTAAACGCATCGCCCCACCTCCCCTCAACAGGTGATGATGCCTTCCACTCGCTCATTACTGGCTTCTGGAAATAACATTTGAATATCTTGCAGGTCTAATAGGGTACTGTGGCGCTTAATGGAATTCCACACCCATAGTTCACAAAAATTGTGCTAAATGCTTTAACAATAGCAGATAATCTTAAGGACTCTCTGGGGTTATGTATGGTATCTTTATAAAATAGTCATAGAATATTAGCAAATTCTCTTAGATGAGAAGGAATTTCTTTAAAGGTTTTACATCTACCTTAATAAAAATGTGTTGCTGTGTTTTCATATTTTGAAGCACGTTACATAGAAGCAAACATTTCTAGTATCTGTGATCAGAATATAACTAAACAAACACCAACTTTTTGCTTTCCTTCCCAGTTTTAATGAGTCACAAGAGAACCCTGGAATAGTTATTTTTCTTAAGAGTCTACAAATCTTAAATTTCTTAAAAAGAAAAATTGTAGCAATTCAAGAATTAATAAAAAGATGCTTATTGCTTCCCTTGAAACATGACCTACCAAGGATGGGAGTAAACAAATGATTAATAAACTGAAGCTTTCACAAGACCATTAGATCCAGCTTTAAACATATACAGTTAGTTGTATTTTGAAATAAAAAATATTATATGGGGATATAAAATATAACTCAAGTTCAATAATACCTTCCCATAATTGCTCAAGTATAAAGATGGTGATTTAAACAATAGTTTCATAAAATGTATCCTTTCTGTCAAGAGTTTCACAGTGTTGTATTGGACAATATGTTGATAACGATGTTGAGCTATAGTCTGTGTCTACATTGGCAAGAATTTGAAATGACAGTTGTGCAGCAAAGACCAGACACATACTGTCCAGGGAGAACAGGGATATGACTGCATTCCTCAGTATATTTGCATTTTCATCATTTTCTCTAATCAAATGACTCCACCAAGAATGATATGTGATAAATATAGTAGCTTTGAAAAACCCTGTCCAAGGAATACCTATAGGAATAGTTGTTTCCCTGGAGAGGCACCGCACATGTACAAAAAGATCCTGGTTACTCTTTATTTGTGTTGGTCTTATGCTTTTTCTTATAATATTTGAATTTCAAATCATATTTATATTCAGTTGAAAATATTTTCATATCATGCATCTTATCCCCATCAGCATCAGAGTTATTTCAAAAATGTAGATAGAACCCCAAAATACTTTTTCTAGCTGATTTTAATGTTTAGACTCCTTTATCAAAACTACCTACTGCAACCTTAGTCATAAGAGCTAAAATACATGTACTTCTACAGCTATTGTCTCGACTAAATGTTGCATAAATAGTAAAATGATTGAGTTCATATATATCATATTTAAAGACAATTATTAAAAACAGTCATTTGATTCCTGAAGTAGGAAAAAAGGAGAGAAATTCACAAAGAGGTAAAATGTGTAGGCTCTGCTAAAAAAAAGTA